TTAGATAGATATTCTACAAATAGATACGAAAGTCGACATTTACATTATATGAAGTTACATTTTTATTTTTAAAAACATCTGAAATCAGACTTTCGTTTGTACAGAAAATGAAACACGCAGGAAAGAATATTTGATTTTCGAACACCGCATCATCCAATCAACAACTTAGCGGGTTTGTGTAAATACATTACCTTGTGATGTGTCGCATCCGTAGAAATCTGCCTCGAGGCAGTTCGGGGGTGGCTTGAACACTTCGCCAGCTTGGGGCACCGACCTAACCCCTCTGATTGCCTTTTTTATTGCTTCGCTTTCATACCGTATTTCATCTTAACCTTTTTCTTCTTATAATTAAAGTTGTGTTTGTGTTACTTACATTAATAAATCAATATGTATATAAAATATATATGTGGATTTACTATCTTAACAGCAATGCGTAGTACAAAAGAAAGAAAATAACAGTTTTTTTTTTATTTGATAGTATGGGAAACGAGGACCTTCATTACCTGACTTGATGGAAAGCTGTACACCAGAGGAGTCCCTGACTTTTGTGGGATTAGAGCTTCGGAGACATAGGATTTGGGAAAGAAAGGTTTGAGGTTCCGTTTAAAAAACTCACACGGCGAAATACAACAATGGGGTTGTTTCACGCCGGTTTTCTGTGAGGCCGTGGCACCAGAACAGTCGAGCCGACCCTTTCATTCTGAAGGTTGGCTCTCCTACATTTGAAAGTGGGATGTTAGGAATAATTTTGGTAGGAACGGTCTTGAGAGAACTTAAATACCTACATAATAATACTGCCTTCACTTATTAATACCCTTACCACATCTCACACAAATATCAGTAAGCTAACGATAACTTTGTAGGTAAACTCAATAAGATTTTTCTAACTAGCTTAAGTCTAGTTATTACATTCTCGATTATTGAATAGGCTGGTAAGTGGTGACCCATTGACTGAAAAAAATAGTTACTAGGGATTTTCCAGTCAAGAATGATGTTCCATATTTGAAAATAACCTCGTCCTTTATAACAATAGGAATAAAGATACGGCAGGCTAAAAGTAAATTATTCGTTCACTGTCTCATTCTTTAGGGAAAATAAACTTGGTATTGTGTGTGTGTACGTGGTTAATCCAACAACAAAACATATTTAGAGGTCACATTGCAATGCCTCCAATGAAATCTTAATCCTAAAATCCCCCGTCAGGTCTCGAACGTGTTTAATTTTAATACGAGTTTATATGTATACACAAACGTGTATTTCATACTCGACCTTGTAGTACGCTTGTACAATTACCGGCTTAGTATTTACATTAGTACTTTTACCAAATAAATAAGTAGTTGTTTCCATTTGTATTTTAAGTAGGCTTCGCGTATTAGTAAATATCTTATTTTTTCTAGTAAGAGCTATATTTTGTGCCATAAAGTTTAGGTTGAGGTTAGATACCTACGCATATAACTTACATATGACGCCATTAGTTGAATTAGCCGTCCAACCAAAACGGTCTGATTGACTAGTCGTTTGATCGAATGGCTAAATTTTTCATTCAAGCTTTATGTTGAAGAGTGAAAGGGATTATCATAAAAACTGAGTTGCTACCAGAAATGTAGGTAATAATAATCTTTATTGTTCAGAAAAGAAACACAGTTACATCAATTAAATCACTGGTCTCCACACTAGGATTCCCTGTGTCGTGGAGGCCAGTCTCTTTCATCTTGGTTCACAAAAACAAAATAGATAATATAAAGATAATACAGAAGAAAAGTTAAATAAGTATTATATGGCATCTTGCAGTGAGAGTGTGCGAAGGTAAGAAATAGTGTGGTGTGTGTGTGAAGGTGAGAGTGTGTGTGTGTGAGGGGGTGTATGTGTGTGAGTATGTGAGTATGTGTGTGTGTTATGATGTATGTATGTAATTGTGTGCGCTCATGTAATGTTTCCAATAATATAAATTTTAAAAAGTATCAGTTAGTAATTTTTCTGTGTCATCATAATCCAAACTTTTTATGTAATTTTTGATGTGAGTTTTACATTTGAATCTCGTCATAGGTAATAAATTAAGTTTGTTGTTGAGTTTATTATAAAGGAATGGACCCATATGGTGAAAACACCTTTTTCCAAAACCAAGTCTACATTTTGGTTTACGCCATTTAGGTTTCCTCTGTGAATATGCTTTGGATTCCACTTTGACCAAAGCCTCTTTATGGAATTTCATAACTACGGCCATAATATATATCTGTCGTACGCGCATTGCGCCAGTCTCTTTATATAGGCTATTCGTTGGGAATCGCCTTGGTTTTTTATAAGCTACCTTAAGGATGGCCCGCTGTGCACGTTCTACTTTTATCATATGTGTCTTTAATGCAACTCCCCAGGCGGTTATACAATAAAGAAGAAGAGATTCGCACAGAGTGTGATAGATCATCTTTAAAATGTTTATGTTCGCGATCTGGCCCATTCTTTTAAAGATATGTAGTAGTTTTCTAACACGTCCACTTACATGCTCTATTTGCTTTGTCCAGGTGAGGTTTTTATCAATGAGAACTCCAAGATATTTTATATAAGCTACCTGTTCAAAGCATGAGCAAGAACATTCGGGGTCTGGGCTGCCATGGCAGGAATGCAATGTAATAGTTAATTGACCTGGACAGGTGTCTCTTTCGCTGACACTGAAATTTATAACTTTCGTTTTTTCCACATTTAGTGTCAGCAAATTGTAATTTAGCCATTGTGCAACCTGCTTTACGCCAGCCTCAGCCGCCTCGTAAACAGATTCCCACGTCCTATCATAAAAAATTATAGCTGTGTCATCAGCGTAGGCAAAAATTTTTGCCTTACTGAGTGTTAATGAGCAAAGGCTATTAATATATATAATGAAAAGAGTAGGACCAAGCACGCTACCCTGCGGCACACCGTAGTTAAGGTTATTATAAGAACTGTGGTTATTACCTAATATCAATCTTTGTGTGCGATTGCTAAGGTAGGATTGGAACCACTCAAGAGCAATGCCACGTATTCCAATGCCTTCAAGTTTTTTTAAAAGGATGCTTCTAGAGACGGTATCAAAGGCTTTCGCCAGGTCTAGGAAGATTCCAGTGCACTTGTAACCTTCATCTAATTTAGTGACACCAAAATCTACTAGATCTGTAACTGCATCTTCTGTTGACCTGTTCTTGCGAAAGCCGTATTGATTATCTGATAGGATACCGTTCCTTTCAAGGTAGTTAAGTAGTCTGGTATTCATGATCTTCTCGAGGATTTTAGACAGCGACGTGAGAAGGGAAATGGGACGATAATTCGATACTACTGTCTTATCACCAGACTTGAAAATGGGGCAGACATTCGCCATTTTGAGAGTTGTTGGCACTATTCCAGAGGAAATACTTAAATTGCACAAATAGACAATCGGGGGGATAAGATGAAGTTTGTTTATTTTAAGAACTTTGTTTGGAATGCCATCCCAGCCAGGTGCTGAGGCATCTTTTAGATTTGAGATTATCTTATTGACTTCGAAACTGTCTGTTGGATTTGCATAAAATGAGTTAACTGGGGATGAGTTGTCATATATTTCACTGGTCAGCACAGCTAGTTGGGATTCAGTTTTATTAAAAATTGAAAGTGTTTTTTCAGCAAGGTTCTCACCAACAGATGTGAAAAAATTATTTGCCCTATCTAGAGAGTCTTTGGGATCAGGACAGGCATGTAGTAGTTCTAAGTTATTTGTCTTATCCTTTTTTATGTTACATATGCTTTTTATTGCTGTCCATGTCTTCTTACTGTCACCTGTAGAATCTTCTAAAATGTTTCGGTCATGGTCATCTTTTAAATTTTGTATTATATTATTGCATATATTCCTATACTTTTTGTATCGTTGCTGTATTGTGGAATTATCTTTATTCTGTTTTTTGCCTGCTTCCATATGTAGGAGATCTCTTTTTCGGATGCATTTAATTAATCCTTTCGTCATCCAAGGCTTTCTTATTGTTTTTGAGTTACGGCTGGTCTCAACAGTTGTGTGATTTTGTATTGTTGTGCTTAATGTTTCAGTGAAATCAGAAAAAGCTCTATTGACATCATTATGCTTATACACAAAATCCCAATTTTTGTTTTCAATGGCCTTTGATAAATTTATGTGGTCAATTTTAATTTTAATTTTTGTATCGGTCGAGATGCGCGAAGTTTCTTTAGCGATTCCAGTAATAATCGTGTCATGATCAGTTATACTCGAGCTGCATACAATAATCTTTACTGATTTCTTCGACTTTATCAAGACGTGATCTAAGCACGTATGGTCATGGGTAGGATAATGATGTCCCGGATAGAAGCCATAGTGACCGGTCGTTTCCAAATATTCGCTTGCACGTCTGTCCCTGGAATCAGGGGAGATATCAATGTTGATATCCCCCATTATAATACAGTTGGGACTTTTTAAGCCTTGCATAATCTTTTCTAGTGAGTCGCAGAAATTACTAATATTGTAAAATGATGGAGATCTGTATATAGCACAAATTGTATATACTTTGTCAATGTGGATAAGTAAACAGTTTGCTTCCTGAAAAGAGGGCTCCTCAATAGTCACCTGTAGATTATTTTTATATAAGACAGCAATTCCATCATTTTGATTTAAATATTGTTTAGAATAGTGGCACACATAATTATTAAGATATACTAAGGGTGTTGTATCAGTTAATCGACACTCAGTTAGGATAATTACGTCAGGCAGAAAATGTAATCTACTCAAAAAAACCGAGAAGTTGTCAAAATTTTTTTGTACACTACGAATATTTTGGCATACTATTATAAGTTGCGTTTTAGGATCACCAATATCTAGTGAACATTCTTGTGGAGTATTACGTTTGGTATTAAGGTAAATATCAGTCTTGTCAATGTCTTTAATCACACTATATTGGTTAGCCATATTTAATAGTTGTAAAAAAAGGTTGGATTGTAACATTGCGAAGGATTGTTCTCAATTGGATATCATAAATTATCTCGGAAGCAGATAGCGTATGAGTTACAGCGTGTAATGTCAAGGAAACATATGTGTGATGTGTATAATTAATTAAGTGTAAGTGATGTGTAAAGTGTATACAGTTATTAAAACATAGTGTGTAAGGGGTTATATTGCAAGTGGCCATGATGAAAAGCATGTACAACGTCAGTATATAGGGTATTTTATCCACTGAAATATCTAAATTATATTGAAAAAAATTAGTTATTAATTTTGTAGGATTCCCGTAATTGCTGAAAGATGTTTTCGTTTTTAACAACGGTGTATTTATCGCCTTCCTTTTTACGCAGAAAGATACGTCCGTTCGCAATCCAGCAATATTGGAAGTTTTCTGTTCTAGCGAAATCGCGAGCAAGAAAAAGAAGTCTTTTAGCCTTTGAGGTTAAATGTTCTGAGACAAAAAGTGTCATTACAGAGCCTTCTAGACCAAGATGTTTTGTGTTTAGCTGACTGTCTGGGTGGGAGATATTGTATTGCTTTATGAGTTTTAAAAGTTTGTCTTTCGCAAAGGTACTGGTAAACTCAGTAACAACTGAGGAAGTTGTTGCATTCGCCTTCGATGGCAGTCTGTAGATATCTTTAATTTCATTATAAGAGCAATCACCTCCCACGCTTTTAACCAGACTGGTCACCATGTTAAGTAAGTCTTCTTTTTTTTCCTTTCTCTTTTTCGGTACACCTCTGATTTCAAGACTTGTCTTTCTGATCACTCGTTCTAGTCCCTCAAATCTTTCTTCCAATTCTTCAATTTTTGCACGTGTATTCATCCTTTCCCGGTCTAAGCTGTCAATCTTTTTGTCTAGGTCCTTTACTTGAGCCGATAATTCTTCTAACGATTTTTCAATTTCATCAGTACATGATTTTATGCCAATCTTTATATCGCATAAACCCTTTTCTAGATTGTCTAACTTCGCAAGACCCTTATCAAGTTTCTCTAGTTTTTTATCTTGTTGTTTCATCCAAGTTGAGAGCATTTCCTTCATCTCTTCTCTAAAAATGTCGAAGGTACTGCACTCATCATCGTCCTCTAATCGGACACGTTTAGAGTTTGATCTCATTGTAATGTTAGGGGCAGGTGTTGACGCAGTTATGGGTCTATTTAAGTTAGTGTCTGAAGACGACAATCCTTTCGGTGGTGTGCAAATCGGGTTCATAATGAAATAAGTTTAAAACTCACGTTTCCAGTATGCAGGTTTATTCTTAGAATCTGGCGCGTAGCACTAGTAGGCGGGTTCGACTGTTTCTTCGTAGCACGTAGTACGTGAAGTTTGTAGCCGGCGTCTACGTCGTCATCGAGCGCAGCGAGACAGAGAGGGCAATTATGCGGGCGGCACTCCTCGCACAGGCACTCTGCGTTCGCCAAGGTCGGACTTGCCTTTCACTTTTGCTACACTGTTAGTACTTAATTGCGAGTTTATTGACTTTATTATAAGATATACTTTAGAATAACTGACGATTAAATTTGCGACAATATTTTAAATAAAAATTAACAACACGTCTGCTCAGTAAGGCAACATGGACGAAAGAGGTAAGTGTAGGTAGGTAGGTAGGTGGAACTGAGAACGGTGTGTGCGCAGAAATAGAATCACTAACACAAATACAAAGCTACTCAAATTGTACTGCGATTTGAGGGCTAGCTGATTGATTGAAGGAAAAACCAGTTGGCTGCCAAATATATCAATTAAAAACAGTTAAAATAGTATACATTTGTACCGCATATTCCTATTACAAAAGTACCTACTGTATTGCGATACATGTGGCAAAATTCTTCTATCCTTTTTTAAACCAGGAAATTACATAAACATGTACAATATGTCTAGTCTTTTCATATGCCACACATTTCCGTCTCCAATTTACCAATATTGTAATATAGAAAAATAAAAAATAGAAATAATGGCGATTATACCCGCCAAAGAACTGTGATTAATATCAGTTCCGTAAACTTGAAACAGTTACATGCCATTTCACTTAAGAAACTCTATTTAGTATATTAGATAATCCATCGTTTTAAGATCTTTTATAATACTTAACTCATTTATGACGTCACTGATCTATGCGATGAGCATACGTTTTTGGTAATATTTTTCCCAAAATGGGAAACTATTTTTATTATTCGATACGAGATTTCTCAGAAGTGGCACTATTTCTTGGAATGTCCCCACTCAAGAAATGTCTTTACAGGCTTATCGGCTTTACCCTAATTGCACAGAGTAACAAGTTCATAATAACATAACAAATAGTTAGTACTACCCACATGTACCTTACGCCGATCTCTTCTGAGAATAACCATTACTATTCTATATTAAGATTTTCTGCTTGAATGTTTCCTATGTCTAGGGGATTCAAGTGTAATTAGAAAATACAAAGTTTTAGATTTAATACCCTAAGTACGTAACGAGTTAGATCTAAGGCGAGACAGGCCCTCCCCCTGCTACTTAACTCGACCTAACTTCGAGAAAAGGGTTTAAGTTGCTGACTGATAAATATCTAAATATATCTTCCCCTAACAAAACAAAACACGAGTTTCTAATAAAAAAGATATGATAACAATTAGTTTTACTAATTGCTAATTTTTATGAACTAGTAGGTAAACAATCTGACAGATCACCTAAGTAATATCGGATCAACGCCACCCATGGACGACAACAACAGAAGAGTTACAGGCGCGTTGCCGGCCTTTTAAGAAAGATTGCGCTCGTTTCCTAAACGTTTGAAGGTCATATTGATAATATGTGTTTCACCAACTTATCACCAATAATTTAGTCGCGAGTTTACTATAGCAAGTATAAAAAGTAACGGAGCCTAATATTTTGTATGACGCTGCAAGAATATTACTACAAACACAATTAAAATTGCGAAAAAAACATCCAAAATACACCTTTACAAAAACCAACGTCAAAGCAATATAACCAGAATATTACATTATTTAATAATATTTCAAACTTTTTCAGCACTTGGTGTGGACTGCCACAGCTTTCTTGATATAAACCCAGACACATTGTTTTAAGACCGCTATAAGAATTTTAGAGTGCACTATTCTATTACTCTATTTTGTAGTAATATTGGAACAACCGATGCAACATTAAACATGTTTCAATCTTAGAAACTTTGAAAAAAAGGTTGTAAAAGAAGTATTCTGTTGGCTGCAAAAAAATGAGACGGGGTTGACTTCGCCCCCGACCACTTACGAAAACGAGAATCTGAATGCCGCACTCGGCATAAAAGAAGATTTTTCTAGAAGCTAACGACAATTCGAATGACCACATTCCCACTAGAAAACTTATAGCACTGAAATTAAAATGAACTTAAAGAAATTTCCTTTATCCTCGAAAAGACAAAAGGATGGAAGTTGTGTGAAGTTTTGAAACTCATTGGGTTTCTGTTTGCGGTTGTGCTGGGTACAACCTATTTATTACAAGATTACACACGGATTAGTCTATTGTTGGCGAGCACTGAGTAGAAAGACAGGGTCTTATGTCTAGTTACTAGGTTAGAATTTACTGTTTTTGTATAAGGCAAATGATGGCGCCCAACGTGGTACCTGCCATATTTGCACGCAACGTGGTACGACGAGCCATATTTGCACGATACTCGCCACACAGTAACTAACGTTGAAATGCATTGCTTCAAATTGTGTTTAATTCTCCAACCAAATTCAATTCAATTACTGCCTTGCATATGATACGCAGAAAATACAAAGAAAAAAATATGGTAAAGAACTACAGAGAACAAAATGTTTGTACACCGGTACTAAGTATATTACAACCAGACTCTTCCGTACATCCATTACAGTGCGAGCCAAAAAGAAAAACGTGTAAATGATAAACTCAACTCAACATCGGATCCCGGAAAATTCCACGCCTATTTTAACGCGAACAAAGTCGCCGGGAGAAGCTTGTATAAAAAAAGAAACAGGTGTGTAGCTAATGTTATTTTCACTACTACATACGTGATTACTCCAGAGCCTTCCTCTCCAAAAGCGTAGAAAAACAACAGGCGGGTTTACGTGTACATTGTTCCTGCTGATCTTATTTCACCACCTACATTTTCGAATGGGGCAACATTTTCGTTGGATAAAAGCAATAGTGTTCACGTGTTTAATTACACTATCTATCAAACATTCAGTCTGCAGCCACACAATGAGCCGATAACAAAGACAAATCGGGGAATTTTCAATCTCATTAAGTTTTCATTTGATTGCTTTCGGTTGAGCTCCGTAATCCAAATGGAAACCGATCGGTAACCGATTCTTGTTAGCGGAAACATTTGACTTTGATGTTTGCGACGTGAGTCGTGAGTACAGAGAGACCTATTGACTGAGTCTTGTGCCGACTTAATTGGAAATCTGCGACATTTGGAAAAAAGTTAGAATTTTGTAAGAAAGTAAGATAGATTACATTATCTTGTTAATTAAGAGTCATGAACCACTGGTAAATATATGTAAATTAAATAAACATATTTTTAAAAATATGAACGCTAACATGAATTCCAATGCATAAAACTATCTAAGTACCTACATACTACAGAAAGACACAATCCGTAAAAACCTAGTCTTACACTGCATTCTAAATTTGTTTTTAAAAACCTTACAAAGATTTCCTAGCTTTTAACGATACATGTTTTACTAAACAATAATTGCTAAGATTAAAAACATATTTACAAGACCATCAATCCTGGTTGAGAAGGGAATTTAATAAGTAAATGCGTGAACGAAACGTCATCTCATCACATCAATCAGGAGACCGCGAGTGGCGCGAACCAAGCTTATACTCCAGATATTAAATTAAATTCAACCACTCGTGTCAGGACTCTGTGAGTGACACATGGTTTCTGTATGAACTCGCGTCAACTAACTCAACATGAATAGAATTAATTTAAAAATGGAATAACGAAATGAACAATGTATTTTTTTTTTCATGCGAACCAAACTTTTGCGGCCTATATTAAAATGAAATTTGATACAACCTCCTTGAAAAAAAAAATGGAACGGCCGACCGTTAAAAAGCATATTAATTTTGATTAATATTTGTTTTCATTCGGTTATAAATCTCTGTCTGCAAATATTGGTTGTTATTGCTGTAATAAAACATATAATGGAATAAACCACCATATTCGAAAATGTTAATAAATAATACAGCCATCAATAACACAGGAGGTGGACGTGTAAATAAATCGTGACACCGAGTACGGCTCTTGCTGAATGGATTTAATTATGTGTGCGACCAAAATGGACTGTTATTAAACGCAATAATTATTAAATAATTTTATTTAATTATAACATGAGGATGAGATAATATTAATAGAAACTTGAGCTTAAATTATGTGCTATTTCTTTGTAAATAAGGCGCTATGATATAAGCTTGTTGCTCATATCTATGCTTTAGCTATATGTAGGTGTGGGAGAGCCATGGTTAGGTGCTAATGGGCCGGGTCGATCGGAGTTATACCACGGCCTTACGGAATACTGGCGTGAAACAATACTTACGTTTTATTTCGCCGTGTGAGGGAGGATACCGGAGCACGGAGGCCCAATCCTTAATCCCCAACCTAACACACAGAAGGTCGGCAAAGTACTTGTAGTAACTCCTTTGGTTTTGCAGCTCACCATAGCCGGCACTGAATGCTTACCATCAGGTAACTCGCGTTTCCTGATTGGTGTGATGAGATGACTTTTCGTTGACCCATTTACTTATGAAATACCCTTTCTCAACCAAGATTGATGGTCTTGTAAACATATTTTTATGGGAGTGAACATCAAATAGTCAAGCGTGTCCTGAACAAGTAATGGCAAGTTAAGTAACTGTTAGCGCTCATTGACATCCGCAACACCAGCAGAGTTGCAAGTTTGTTGTCGAATTTTTGTGAGTAAGGGATTTGAGGTCTGGAGGATTTGAGAATTGGGAATGGATTTGGGCTTTTCGGAATTCACACTCACAAGACGAAACATGGTGGAAACTGGCCGTGGTCATGTCATTTTTCTATGAGGTTGTGGTGGGACTCCCGTCTGGCCGTTTCGTGTCAAAAGCGCGTGGATCTCTCATACCTCACTTCAATCAATAATAGTCAGTAAAATTACAAATGCCATTATGTTATTAGAAAAGTTTTTCCAAATTAAGTTAGTTCGTAGTGAAACTCACAAAAACATAATCTTCCTAAGCGTAGATAACTTAACTAGTTCCCTAAAACTAGTTAACTTTTGTATTAGTCGATACCTAGTCATAATACCAAGTTAATAAAACATTGAAAAACTAAAGCAGTTTACTAATAAAGGTTTTTGTCGTTATGAGAACCTACCAAATACATAATGT